AGAGAGAGAGAGAGAGAGAGAGAGAGAGAGAGAGAGAGAGAGAGAGAGAGAGAGAGTTGTGGATGGATCGTTTCTAGCCTGCTAGAACAATGTTTCCTGTTTGAGCCCGAAGGTCCCGTTGTTATTGCCTTCAAGACAAAGTTACAAAGTAGAAAGAAATCAAACAGAAAGCAAACCATATCATAAGCAGAAAAAGCGCAGTTAAAACCAAAGATGATTTCCTAATCTATACCAATAAAAGGTTAATACAGGAAAGCAGGTATCAAGCAGAATTGTCATACTAGCATGAATTTAAGAGGATCTTTACACACATTGGAGCATCACATAAAGCAATGGAAGACCAAAATCAAAATTTTGTACGATACACTCGATGATCATGAATTAGCCAAAATGAATTACATAGTTTGGGTCAGAGAGTATAATTACAGAAGAAGAGTAAGGAGAAGAGTTACGTCGCCACAGATCCGAGTGAAGTACAGTGAGGGACGGACCCTCGGGCCCATGATGCACTCCTGCAGTGCTCTACTGCTTTCAGATGTTCAGCGAAACAACATCATCAGGAGCATTGAGAAAAGAGTTGGGGTCCTAAGATTATATATGATCTGAGAAGGGAGAGGGGGAGAAGGGGAAGGAGAGTATAAGGGGAGGAGAGAAAAGATAGAAGAGAAGGGGGAGGGAAATCAGATGGCAAAAGAGGGTAGGAAGGGGTGTGAAGGTCTGGAGATGTGTCGAAGAAGGTGGAGATAGCAGAGCAAAGCTGATGAGAAGTGCTGTCGTGAAGTGACAGCGGAGACACATCATCCCGCTTAATCGACTGTTTTGCGCACGATACAGCTGTAGCGAACTCCATGACGAGGAAGGCGACGATAAGAAAATCTCGATGAACTTCTGAGTAGCTGATGGTGACATGCTGGTATTAGATGTGCCAACTACTGCACCAAGTCTCGTCGGAACCAAGGAACACCTGGCATCCCTGTGGATGCCTCAAAAAAAATGTAATCCGCCGTCCAAGTATGAAATCGTGCCAGGTTATGTCCAGGGACCGTTCATCACATCAGTACTAAGCAGAGAAAGTAAATCCATCCGACAGGTACGAGGTCGAGTCCTACTAATGCCAAGCTTCAGCCAAAGCCACCTTGGTTCTACACCAGTTGGAACAGAGGATGTCCCGAGATCTTTTCCGAAAATTTCAACGTGAGGTACACGGTTCGAGTCCCGAAAATAGGCAAGCGAGGAACAAATTCTGACAAAAGGATCTGAAAAGTTATTGGACGAGAGAGAGAGAGAGAGAGAGAGAGAGAGAGAGAGAG